ATGAATCTACACTGATACATCATAATCACCCAAAGTCCAGAGTATATATGAGGGTTCACTCTTAGTGTACATTATGGGTTTTGGTAAATATATAATGACATGTATTCACTGTTGTAGTATCATACAGAATAGTTTCACTATCCTAAAAAAATCTGTGCTCTGCCTGTAATCATCCCTTCCTCAACTCTAAATCCTGTTATCATTGATCTCTGTACTATTTCCATAGTAATCTCATCAATTTTGTCTTTTCCAGAAGGCCATATAATTGAAATCACGTAGTTTATAGTCTTTTCAAACAGGTTTCTTTTACTCAGTAATTTTAAAGTTTCTTCTGTGTCTTTTCATGGCTTGGTAGCTCATTTCTTTTTAGTGCTGAGTAATATTCTGTTATCTGGATATACCAGAGCTTATTTATCTATTCACCTAATGAAGATCAACTTTGTTGGGCTGGGGTTGTGGCTCAGAGGAAGAGTGCTCGCCTAGCATGTGTGAGGTATTGGATTCAATCTTCAGCACCACATAAAAATAAAATAAAAGTATTATGTCCACATAAAAATACTAAAAAAGAAAGCTTTATTGCTTCCAAGTTTTGGCAATCATGAATAAAGTTGTTATAAACATCGTGCACAGGTTTTTGTGTGGACATAAATTTTTCAATTAATTTGAGTAAGTACCAAGGAGTGATATTGCTGGATTGTACAGTATTAAGATCTTAGGTTTTGTGAGGAACTCTATTTCAAAGTAACTTTACTATTTTGCTTGCCCACTAGCAATGAATGAGAAATCCTGCTGCTCTGCAACCTCACCAGCATTTGGAATTGTAGGTGTTGAAGATTTTGACTTTTTTTTTCTTTTCTCCTCCGTGCTTGGATGGAATCCAGGACCTTGTTAAAGCCACAGGGGTATTTCAGACCAAGCCATTGCGATCCTGTTCCCACCTTGCCCTGTGAATTCCTGCAGTGCCACCTTGGAATTGGAAGACAGTACCTGATCTAGACTGAGTCATTTGGGACCACCCAGCGGGGACCTGTGTATGCCTCTGCAGAGCTACTCTGGGAAGAAGTGGCCAGAAAGACTCAGTTGCTTCTGGAAAGCACTACCCTGAACACAGGGAAGTCCAGAGCCTGCCTTGGACAGAACTTCTATACTTTCTGTAGGACCCTGGTGTTTGCTCTGGGCAGGGCCATTCCATATTTCGGATGTGTCCAGCAGCTTCCCTTGGCTAGTAGTGACAGGATCTACATGCAGAGTCTCTCGGATACGGCGACAAGGACCTCAGAGTCCACTGCGGATAGTCTCCCTGGGCAGCCCCGGGTGCCCGCATGGCCAGCATCTGGCGGCGCGCCTGAGCGCCGACGGGCAGGCCGGGTGTTTATCCCCGGAGTCGCCAGCAGGGAGCTCCCTTTCGGTTCTGCTCGCGCGGTCGCGGGGGGCGGCGCTGCGCTGCGCCGCGCTGCGCT